CTCTCACTATCTCTCTCTCTCTCTCTCTCACTATCTCTCTCTCTCTCTCTCACTATCTCTCTCTCTCTCTCTCCCTCTCACTATCTCTCTCTCTCTCTCTCACTATCTCTCTCTCTCTCTCTCTATCCAGGTCCACAGACCTGTCCTGATGATTGACTTATGGTCCTGAAGTCCTTTCTCATCTGCTTTCTCTTTTCAGGCTCCTTCCTGGCTTAGATTTGGAGAAATTCCGGATCTATCTGGATATCTGGCTCATGATTAACTGTTGAGATTAATTTTTCTTGACGCCCTGCAATGGTGGGTCACTTAAACTTGCAAGACATGAACGAGAACTTTGAGATGAAATGTAAGAAGCGGGAGTGTTTTCTGGGCAGTCCTGACTCTGGGCTCCCTCCCAGCCCCAGTCCACTTTTCTTTGCCCTTTCTCCAAGGATTCCTGAGGACAAAGGAAACCCAACAGCTTCGAGAGTCAGTGCAGCACCAGCTGCAAGGAGCCGAGAGGGCAAACTGGTAGGAACAAAGTTTAACTGCGAGGTGATGGAGGAAGAAATGGGGAGAAGGAACCAGAGAGAATGGAGGGGGTTTTCAATTCTAGGCTTTTTGCTGTTTGTTCAAGATGTTTGGTGTTTAACAGATATTCCTCTAATTCCAATCTCAACATCCCAACTTTTATCACTCCACAATTGGTGACCTTACCTGCAGCTGCCTGGGCCCTAAACCCCTTGGAATTCTCTCCAAAAATCCTTGACCACACTGTCCTCCTTTCAGATTCTCCTTGACACTCCTGACCATCAACTGCATCTCTCAGCCCCTGCCTGGGGATTGGTGGCAAATGTTGTTTGAGAATATTTCTGTGAAGCATCCTGGGGAATTTTACTCTATTAAGGGGACTATATAAATGCAGGTAGTCATTGTTGGGGTGTTTGGTGTTTAACATGTTGCTGGATTTAATGATGCTTATGAAGCTATGTATATAACATTTCCTAAATTATTAACAATAGTGAATAGGACAGTAACAGTCACTGGGACACATCCCAAATGAAAGTTGATGCATTTTGGTTGGAAGAACAAAAAAAAGACAATATAAAGAAACTGGGGCAGGTTTAAAGGAGGGAGGGTGGGGAATGCTTCCAAATAAATAAATAAATCACAGGGACACGGCAGGCAGTTTCAAAAGGCAATTTCAAAAAAAAATCTAGATTTCTATTGGAGGAATGGAACAATAAACAAGGGACAAATAAAATGTTTGCAAATTTCAGGTGAGCTCTCAGCTGGGTGTTCGGTTTAGGGGTGGGGACTTTGGAGAGGGCCTGAAGGGAGATTTCCCAGGATGGGAGCAGGGATGAGGGAGTTGAGTGAATGTGGGGAGACATTGGGATTGTTCTCCTCAGAGTGGAGAAGGGAATGGGCAAGTTTAATTGAGGTTTTCCCACATCAGGAAGGGTTTGATGGAATAAATCAGGTGAAATTATCTGCAGCAGTAACAAAGGGTCAATGATCACAGAGACACAGATTGTCAAAGGAAGATGCAGATTTGTTCTTTTTACAAAGTGAATTGTGATCTGGAATGTGGTGCCTGAAGGAAGCAGATCCAACTGAAGGGTCTAGGCCCGAAACGTCAGCCTCTCTGCTCCTATGATGCTGCTTGGCCTGCTGTGTTCATCCAGCCCTGCACCTTGTTGTCTCATAATTTCCAAACAGTCTGGGACAGATGCTGGTAATGGAGTGGGAAGGGCAGGTGGTGTGTGATCAGACAGACTGTTTCCACATCTGACCTGAACATAACCAAGCTCCTGTACTGGATCACTCTCTGATGCTGTAACTCACAGACACACAATTGTTCTACACAGATTTATTGGCTATTAAACATGGGAGCTGTCTCATTAGCCATTTATATGACAATAAGATCCTTCAGAAGTGAATGCCATTTAAATGCAAAAGTTTGTAAATATTGCTGGTGGCTAAGAAAGGGAGATTATCATGTTTCATCCACCCTGTTAACGGCGATGTGTCAGTGCTGCTGCACTAAGGATGTGTTCGATTATACACTGCAATAAAACCCTCTTTGTTACACACCTCCCAAACATTCCATGCCAACAAATCCATGCTAGAATTTCTTGGCTAGAGTCCCGCCTGTAAATACTTGCCCAGTACAAACCCTGATTTCCTTTCTCATGTTCATGGGGGTTTCTGAGCCTTACTGAGAGTAATGGTGTGTTAGATACCAGTGAAACTGTGACCCATATCATTTTCAAATCAAAACAGGAACTGCACCTCAATTCAAAATGAGTCAAAACACTGCACAACTCCTGGCTGCAAGTGGGAAAGGACAGTAAAAGGTAACCAGTCATTCGGAGCTGGCTATACCGCAGGGATAGACTGGTTATACCGCAGGGATAGGGCTGGTTATACCGCAGGG